GAAGAAAAGGCAAGCCTCGAGGCGTTTTTTGTGTTATTTTGTTGTCGTCTGTAGGATGTCACGATACTCTTCAGCAAGCGCCGTGGAAACTCTTAAAAAGGGACACTGACATTGTATTTATGCTCGCCAAGGTTTTTATGCGACCGTTTCCTATGAGAGCCCAACCGGACTTGCGCGCGTTACTCCAAAAAGTAATTAATGACAATTGGCCGCCAAAGCAATGGATTACCGTTACAAATTACTCTCCGCCAAACGGAATTAATTACCTTGTTACTTTACTCGATTACTTTTGCGTTACTCCAAAGAAGCGCTCAAAATATCTGCTGCGTATTTGAGGCGGGAAATTTTACCCCCATCACCTACTTATTAGTACCACACTTATTAGAACCAAAACTCCAGACGAAATGTTAAAGAAAAATTTTTCAGCTGAACTGTTTTTGCGGTTTAGAAATTATTAAAAAAAAAAAAGCAGTTGTCAGTGCACAGCAGGCTTCTACGTCTCTCACGGGTTTACAGCACCGCCTTACGTTGTCTCAACTCTAGTGTCAAAGTCACCCAATGTTTATTCGCAGAAACCTCGGGCCGTGTTTCCTTTCCCAAAAATATCGGCCCAAGCTCCCGCAGGAACAATCTGCTTACAAAAACCCAAGCATTCTCGTTTCTAAGATTAGATGTTCAGCTTCGAAGTTCCAAGCGGTTTTGGTTGTGCTCCCCGGCCAGCTTGTCGCCCGCGGTTGCTGTTACAGTTGCTGCTACAACGGACAGAAGGGTTGATGCTAATTTTTTTTTTCTTTTACAATGAACTGCTGCCATCGGATCCCTCATCGTCTAGTGTTAAGTCAAGTGACAGAAGCCAGTAGCTAGTTGATTCATCCAGTATTTAGCTCTCACAGCGCTATCAAGGACAAGCAGGGGCGAAATCTCATTAGAGCTTGTTCTGTTTGCGGGTGGGCGAAACATTGAGAAGCAAAAAACGACTTCGTGTGACGACAAAACAAAATAATAAACAATGTTGATTGGTTTTGGGAGAACAAAGCGCAGAGGGGTGGGGAGGAAAGGGTCCAGAGTCCTATTCCTCCCGCAATTCCCGCGACAGTTTTAAGCGCGATTCAGACCAACGTGTTTTTGTGCGCGCATAGGTCGTCCGCTTCCCGGAAATTGCGTATTTCGTGACGTCTTTGCTGTTTCCGGTGCACTTTCTATGCGCGTTGGTTGGGACGGTGCGCCTCTGGGGCGAGGGGAAGAGCATCTGCGCCAGACGGCGAAGAAGCGCGGAGCCGGAACTCGTGACCGCCACCGATTGGCCGGGAGAAGAGCGGCCCTACTACGTCACAACGCGTTTTTGTGCGCGTTCAGAAAAAAGTTTCAAATCATCCAACTTGTGCGCGCCCGGAAGGCGCAAGGAATCAGCGCGGCGTCACGAAATACGCAATTTCCAAGAAAGCCGCGACCTACGCGCGCACAAAAACGCGTTGGTTTGGATCGCGCTTTATGGGCCAATAGTTTCCTACTTTTTTTTGCACGCTAGAAGGCAGCCCGTTCCTTTTACAAGTAGAAGCCTGTTGCCTTCATATAGACAGTCGAATCCTCCTAGCTTGGCTGACCGTACAGATGAGTCCGGAAGCAGGCCCTGGCTGGGCTGTCGTGCTTTCCGTGAATTCCTTTCCTCGCCAGCACTCTTTGCTGGCGAACTCCCGTCTTGTGTTACCACGCTAAAAGCGCGAAGGTCAGTGCATCGCCCTTCCTCCACTCAATCTCTCCCCTTGACGGGACGGAAGAATCGTAACGAGTGATTTCAGTGACTCGTTACAGAAGAAAGTAATTGCATTACATTACAAATTACAATTTCAAGAAAGTAACGTTTAAGGACTAAATTACACGAAAAGTAGCTAATTACAAGTGATCCCGTTACTTGTAACGGATTGCTTCCAAGTCTGAGGCCAACTACCCAGAACACAATTTGTGGCTCGAAATTCGTTTTCTCTCTGCGCGAAAACAGCCGGTCGAGAATTGGCCGGTTTCACACCTAGCTGACAAGTATCGCCATTACTGGGACCTGACGTTAATTTCTACTTCCTGGTTTCTCCGAACTACTTCTGCGGCGTGAAAATAACGGGGCAAACCGAACACTCGTGGCGCATAAAATACTGAAATGTCCGCCAGTGACGTCACTTGCAAGCTATGTATAGCGCTCAACCTATAACGCACCAAATATATTCAATATTGTGGGTTATCTAATGTCCCTGACATACCCCTGTCAAACCGACCGCTTAGACATTTTTTTTTTTAGTAGAAAGGTCAATTTTTTTTTAAATGGAGGAGTTTGTGCCACACGACACCGCAAGTGCTCCTCCCCTAAAACGTCCATTCCGGGAAAGGAGCTCGCTTGCGTCCTTTAGTACAAAGGAAGTTCTCTCGACAGTGTTATATTGCGACGGGTCGAGTCAATGAAGCTTTATACAAACTGTTTAGTATTAAGTAAACGAGAAGAACGGCCGCCATGTCGGTTACTCGCCATCCTTTGAGCACGCGAAGGCCCTTGCCGAAGATATGGAGAAAAAAATGTTTTGCCAGGCAATGACCACCTGAATTCGTCATTCTCGTGGCTGCCATTGTCTGGCTAGGACACGAAAGTTTCTTGAGCTTTTTTTTTTTTTTTTATTATCAGAATTATTTCTTTTTAAAAACGTGGTTCGTAAAATAAACATTGACTTGTAATGTTTTCATCGATTATTTTAAGTTTAATTTTAGTTTCCGTTTCATATCCGTTTAGCCGGCCCCAGAGTAATCAAAATTGGTGGTAAATAGAATATTCCCGGTCGTGTGGAAGCGACCCTTTAGCGGAAAGGATATGTATTGAAAAGAAGCTTTAGGACGTCGTCGTTCATTCGATATTAAAAATAAAAAAAAAGAATATGAACTCCATTTTTGTGTCTTTCAAGCAGCTGCAAATACGTGGATAGAAAAGAAAATGTGGCACAGACCACAGGAAGTACAAGGAGTTCCCGAGAAACGAGAACCGTGTTTTTCGACTCGGGTAAGTAAACTAAGCATCGCAGAAAGCTCAAACTTCGTGAGTGTGGCGCTAGCTGTTGGGATAGAACGCGAAAGTTTGAGAAAAATGACGTAACCTGGATCCAAAAATACGAAATTTCTCTGAACAGACGCCCACCTAAGCCTGATATCGTCAAAACAAGAAATGAATAGTGATAATGCATAGATGGCGGTACCTCCTTATTGAGTGACGATCGTGGTCACAGAAAACTAATATATATAATCTTTTTTATAATGTACTTTTGGCTTAAAAATAAGAGTGGACAATAAAAGCAATATCTAAAGTAAAAAAAAAAAGAAACGCGGTTGCATGAGGACGGCGTTCTTCTGCCGACGGATTTCGTCTGCGTGTTTTCTGCTTTCTTTAGCTGGTCGGCTACAACTTCCGACGCTGCTCCCGAATACGTGCGCCAAACGCGCCCCCACTCGACTCGGTCGTCTGCATCGCCGTCCACCGTTGACCCTAACCAACTTTTTAGCCCTATTTCTTTTTCTTTTTTGAGAAAAAGGGAGTTGCGTTTTGTGATTTTACGGGATAAAACCGACCTGTGAAATACACTTTTGACGAAAAGTTTAGATTGCTACGTGCAGGCGCCGATTTTTACGGCCCATTTTAGATCGATCCTCACTATTTCAAACACCCTATAAATCAAACAAAAGACAGTCTGCAGACAAATATCTAAGAAGTTTCTTCCTTGTATGATGGTCCTGTCACACGGGTCGTACAGAAACTGTCCGCAGACATGTCCGAAGAGTGCGCGCATAGGCATGAGGCCAACTGCACGAATCGTGTCCGTAGGTTCTCATCATGTGTGCAGCGGACACGGGTGCTTTTTGTGGGATCTACGAGCAGTAGAACCGCGACTTTGGGGTCATGGTACTTAATGCAGCGTCCCTTTCACTTCCGAAACTCTCGTGAAGGAATTGTTAACCAAATAAATTCATATAAAAAAAAAGGGCACGAAAGCGTTGGACATCCTGTTTTGCAGGTACTTCGAGGGGCCTTCAATCTTAAAGCCTTTGTAAAATTGTCCAATCCTCCACGATCCCGCCTCGACACGTGTTCCTCGGCATGCGGTGGTTCGCCGATATTCTAAAGGCCTTCGTTCCGAAGGCCTTCAAACGCCCTTTAAAGTGTTCCACGTATGGTCCCAGTTATAGACGCAACTTTTCACAAAAAGAAGGGCCGCTTCTCCAGGAAAAGCGGACGAAGCAAAAAAAAGTAAAACCGGTGATTTTTGTTATATCCACATAAAACTTTAACTTCTTTCAGAAAGATTGCCAAGTTCGTTTAGTTTAAGAGACACAAACATGGTAGTCCGTGAAATTTAAATGTTCGCCGTTACCTATGTGGGTGTAAGGTGCGAAACGGCGCCTCTATGTTCGCGCTAAGCGCGTTCCGCCGCGTAGACTACCGAGCTGTCTGGGATGGCTCAGGCGTGCGTGGCGGGAGACACTCGCTTGCGTGTAAACTGTCGCGAACCTGCCGAGGATTGTGTTCTAACGGGTTGGACTTGTTCGACAGAATTTCAACTAATATGCGCGTGCGCGGGAATAGAACCCGAGCTGACGTCGCCGTGTGGAGAAAGGGTGCAATATTTATCGCGTGTATTGTTTTTCTTTTAATTAAAACGTAATTAAATAATTAAAAGCTGATACCTGCTTTTGTATTGTGAATTCATTGATCAGTGTTTTCATTATTCTATTTTTTTGTTTGTTTCTTTTCCCCCGAAATGTGAATTTATTTTGTATGTTGATGTCGGTCGATACTGTTCAAGAAGTCGAATTTCGTCCGAATTCGCCGAACGTTGGAGGAATCGCCGTGCCAGTCGGATGTCGACTGGCACGGCGAGATCCGACTGGCACGATGTGGCGTAGTTCAGCTTACCGACTACCCCATCAGTTTTCGCCCGTCCTCATACCGCGCTCTTCTTCGTTCGTCGCAGGCGGACCTCGACCTGACATTTGACGAGGGCGAGTTTGCCGACTCCCCCAAGGTCGTGGATGGCGGCTCCAGCACGCTTTCGCCGTTGCGGATCATGAACCGCGTGCGACGCTGGTGGTACGACAAAGACCCCACGACGACGGAGGCCTCTGCAGGCGAACCGTCCTCGTCGACGACGACGACCATCGCAGAGCCCGAGATCCACTCAACGACGAGGCGACATCACCGGGAGACGTCAATCACGGACGACGAGGACGATATCGAGGCGTCCGGGGACGGGTTCGACGGTCACGGGTCCACGGACCACAGTGGGGGAGGTCCGAGCTTAGATGACGACGACAAAAAGATGGTGCACGTGCCCGGACCGGGCGCCAAGCAGCCCGGCATTAAGGACACGCACTCCTTCGACAAGCCGTCCTCCCCACGTAAGTCTGGAGTCTCCCTCGTGTCTGTTTTGCCCGGAGACACTTTCCTCGTGACACATTAAAGGGATGCTGAACCAAAATTCGGATTTCCCAAAATAAGCTTGAAGAAGTGTTCATCGGGGCGCCATAAACCACGAAACATAACTCATATAGCCATATCCCGCGCGGTATGGCCGTATTTCTGGAAAATGGAGGAGCGAATTAAGGGAGAATGTTGACGTCATCTTATCTCCGAAGAGTTGAGAAGGAAGGGCCTCGCTCCCTTTCCTCTCCGCGCCCTCGCGGAGTCAAGGCGAAAAGAGGAGGAAATGAGAATCGCGAGGTCAGGCGTCTTTTCGGCCTTGTGCGAACGCCCTCTTCTTTTACAAAAAATACGACGATCCGTTGGAGATGCCGCTTTATGTGAGGGACGTTCTGGGATTGGTAGCGTCCCGCCTATCGATTTCGCGTTGTTTTCTGAAATTCGATTTTCGGTTCAGCATCCCTTGAAAGCAACGAGTCACGCTGGTCGTACATCGTCCAAAATGCACGGTGCTGACGCGACGGAATTCTCTGCGCCTCGAGTGTGTTCCAAGCACTTTCTATGCTCCGAGCAAATCTGACGTGATACGAGGACACGTCTCAGACGGTGTCTATACAGACTGACGCTTGTCTCGTGTATTGGCGGTGTGTCACTGGTACGAAATTCGCATGGACTACTCAACTTCGACGGTTTTCGAATACCCAGGGCTCTACTCTTTCTGCTCTGCTATCTCTAAATTTGAGACGGCTTTTGAGAAAACAGCAAATGAAGGTGATGCCCAAATCCAAGATTAAAGGGTTCCCGCGCCCTCCGGGTGAACGACGTCGGATTTTTCATTTGTCGAGTCTAGCGGGCAGTTCAATAAACGCGGTAGATTGGGCGTGTTTTTTTTTGTTTTTTTTTTTTGTTGTTTGCTGCGGTGAGTTTGCCCAGCGTTCATTTCACACCAGCAAACCAAACTTATCGTTACCCGTCGGGTCAATGTCGATGTAGATTTTCTTTTTCTTTAAAGCTTTAAAAACACGTCCTCCCCTCTCCCCTACAAAAAGAAAAAATATTGTCGCGAAAGTTTTTAGCATGCGAAAGAGCCCTTCAAAGATCCGCGTCCTCCTTGCCCAATTTGGGCTCCTCTAGCCTTTTTTTTTCTTTGCTTGACGTACAACGCAGATGTGTATTTCAGAAATAGTTGTCGGAAGTTGCCGGTGTGTCACAGTTGCTAGCGACATTCTTCATATATGTATGTATATAATTTTTCTACACCTATTCTAAACGCACTACATCGCTCACTTCGATATGTAAAAAAGTTTGAGCACGGAAATATTACTAAAGACATCAACAGCTTCTTTCTTTCCTTTTTTTTTTTTGCATTGGTCGTTTAGGGTTTTCCACGTAAGAGATTAGCGCCGGGCGGGTCTCGTGATTTCGGTCTGCCGCTCATTGTGCCGCTGAGTTCTACCGACTACAAATACCTTTCAAGGTGTGACAAAAGCATTGAAAAGTTCCAATCGTGGCCCGTAAGCCTAACTGCAGCTGCTTCACCTCGGCTAACACAGATGGCGTTCACATGACCGGAAGCGACCAATCGGCGCGCATGATTTCGAATCTCGTTTTATTTTCGTGCTTTATCGGAAGAAAAGCTCGACGTAAGGACCCCACAAGGACCGTCATCCTAAAGTTCCTCTTTGCCGCCTGAGAATTGGTCATTTTCGCTTCACGCACCAATACCTTTTTCTGTGACGAGGACGCAAAGCTGTGTGACCAGTGTGGGAAAATGTTGACGTCACGGAAAGATGTCACGTCACGGGCGAAGCGTTGCCCAGATCAGTTTTGTTCACCTGATATTTTCCATTTCATCAAAAACTGCGTGTCTTTTCTTAAGAAAAGAAAAATTTTAATACACGTCGTTTTTTCCATTAGACTGGTACGACGTCAACATTCTATCTAGTGCTCTGTCCTCGATTATCCCAGGTGGTGTCTGTCGGGTTAGCAGGTTATGCGGACGCTTGTAGTGGAAGGGTAATTCGGGACTCGTTCGATTTATGTTTCTCAATCTCGCGTTATTGGCAACAAAAGAACGAGGGAGCTTTGGTCTGTAACGAGACGACGCTACAGACCCGTTCCGCTCGTCCCGCCAAGATGGGTGTCGGATGGCGGGCGTATTTCGTGTCGCGGCTCGATGATACTCGCGGCCCTCTGTGGCGCTTTGCTCCGCCCGCCGCGCAGCGTCCCTTTGATTCCGAGTCCCTCAGTCCCGGTTCGTTCTTTGTCTTGCTCTCGTTTCTGTCGGTTCTTCTTGAGTTACGGCGTGCTTTGTGGCTCCGCCGCCGGCATGCGCCCTCGTGGAAACGAGCGAGGATGGAGGCCAGAGGCACCGGAAGGTCACTCCCTGACAGGGCTCCAAGCTCCAGCTGTAAGGTGCCATGAATTCCAGGGCTGTCTAGAAGCTTAGTGTCTGGTACTACAAACTTGTGCATCTGTACGAAACTGTCTGTGCTATTAAATTCGTTGCACGCTTCTGTGTTTTGGAGTCGTCCGAAACACCGGCATACTTTTCGTGGGCCCAATGTAGTCGACCTCGACGAACTCGTAACCATCTCGATAGCCAGCATGATAACGATGCAGAATCCCTCGGCTTTTTTTGTTGTCGAAAAAAGTCTAGTTATGTAGTTTTTCTTTTTTTGTTCTTTGTTTTTTTTTTTTTTTTTTTTTTTTTGTCTTCCGTTTGTACCGTGTAACGGAAACGCCCACTTCATTGTTTATCGGATTAGGTTTGTACCATAGAGTTGTTACAATAAACGCTAGAGGTTCAGGTGGCGCTACTGTGCTGTTGCATTTTCAAGCAGACAGCAACCGGTCTAAATTGGACTTCCGGTAATGCATTCCTATAAGAAAACGCAAATGCTAAGAAAACGCAAATGCGTTTTCTCTTCACGCTCGAATAAAAGAGCACATATTGTTTAGTGTTGTGGCAGAATAAATTTTGGAACGTTTTACAATTTGATGTACAAAAATATGTGTCGGAGCATTTTTCTTTAGAATTCATGGCGTCGAACACTGCGCTAAAATAGCCCAATACACATGTATAATACGTGTTTACGCTATAAACTATTATAGGAGGCGTATTTACGCATATGGTCTGCTACGAAGCGCACACACTGAATTAGTTTGACAAAACACCAAAGTGATGCTAATATATGCCAGATCAAACAATGAAATCGTACAAGGACGATGCATGGAGTTATGGAAGGAAGAATACGTACTGGATTAGTAACAAACTGTGCATGAATAATCAAAATAAAACAGTAACGGTGTTTTTTTGTTCTCCTTGTTTTTTTTAAGTTATTTTGGTTTAAGTGCTAGTTTGTATTGACATATCATTCTGTACAACAGACTTCGGCCTCAATTTTTGCCAACTTGACCCTTTCGAACACTATGCACACAAATGTGTAAATCTAAAATTCTCGCCTTGTTTGGTGAATATTATATGGACTAATTATATACTTGTATACTTCTTGTCCTTGTCTTTTTTGCGCTATTTTTTATGTTTAACTAAGATGAACCAACCAGCCCAAAAACGTGCCGTACTAATTTAATCAAATTTAGCGGCACTTTAAACTCTGCCTGGCAACCAGATTCTAAAAAAAAAAAAGTGTAAATTTTCTTCACAAAAAAAGTTTATGAAGCAAATGTTTTCCACGATAAATGATGTGCGACGTTTGAAAGAATTAAACAACGCTCAAAACTAACTAAATAAATTACAATTTTATAGTGTGTATACAGCTACATAGTACCCGTTGCGAGTAAAGAAACTACGCTGCATTTTATTATTCCCTGGCTAAGAGAAAAATATCACGTGCGTTTTTCCATAGGAATACTCTGCTTCAACTTGCTGTCTGCTTCAATTTGCAAGCGGAGGTCCCATAGGCACTAGCGCCAGCTGAGCCTGTAGCGTTTATTGTAATACCTCTGTGGTTTGTACTTAACGAAAAGAAGCAACTTACGGAGAGTGAAGTGCATACGAAGCTGGTCGATTTCTTGTTGATTTTCGTGCACTAAGCAGGGGATATGCGGCTTTCGATTTAAATCGGACCGTGGAGTTTCGGTCATTTGATTCTCCGCTTGCTCCGTTCACCCACTGCTTTCTACGTGGCGGATTCCTAGTGCTTACGCAGCAGGTTTGGAGAACGAGCTGGATTTCTCAAAACGAACTGGCCGATAGACTATGAAAGAAAGCATTTTTGACTCGGCTCGGAGAAAAGCGTGGGGAGGGTCCAAAATTCCGAAGCTTGTTCGTGACCGATTCTACGGTAAAGAAAACTACAAAGGGTTTCTTTTTACTACGAAGGAGTTTCGTTTGCAAGTTCGGAAGGTAACTTCTAAGGGCGTGGTCAGTCCCCAACACGTCATTATCGCTGCGCACCCAATCAGATTGTGGTATCAGCTGATCAGAAAGTCCAAAAACGAATCGCGAAGCATGAACGCAAGCCGCGCCCTGCATTTCTGAGGCTCTCAGCGAATTTTGGGGTTGTTAAATATCTTCCTCCTCCCAACCTCTCTCTCTCTCTCTCTCTCTTTAGTACGAATGCGATGCGTGTCGAATGGAAATTCTGAGATGAGCTACGTAACCCACGAACTTTCTAAGTATAGTACTCGCCGTCTTTGTGAATAAGAAGACTCACGCATGGCTTCATTAATGCGACATTTGCATCCAGATAAGCTATTTGAAGCCAAACACGAAGAAACACTAACCGCTTTTTGAACGCAACTTTATTCGGAAGCGCTCTTTTCCTCGTCAACTTTCTGTTTCCGCGGTGCTGACAGCCGCAGACTTGCCGACGTGTTGGAATTTGGATTCCACCGCGGAAGGCTCGGCGAAGGTTTACTTGGCACCGGAGCGGAAAGCAAAATAAGAAAAAGGAAAACGGATGGTTCTGACGCGATCCGTGGACTAGACACTTCTATTTATTCCCGTCGTCTG